TCCTCGTCGATTTTTTGTGCTCCGTTCTATTCGCCCCTTTCCCCAACCATGGAGCCTCGTACCAGGTTATCACAAGGGGAATGATAGTGAAGATGAATACTGTCTCACAAATCTCCTTAAAACCTTCGTCACCAGAATAAATCTTGCAGAACAGCGAAGGACTTAAGGTTCAACTTATCAACAACTTTCTTACCTAGCAGGCGTCTCAGTAAAGACAAATCCTAACTACTGTTTAATAATATAACATTTAACAAAGGCTCTCCGAATCCAGATCCATTACCTTATTAACGGACAAACATTCCAAATGGGACTCGCCCTGTGTAACTGTAGACAGACCAGATCCACTGAGGTAGGGATATCTCCAGGACCCTCCAGGTGTAAAGATGGTGGACGGGGTGTTGTGATGATGGGTGTGGATATCAGGGGAGGAGTGATGCTGTGAATCAACATGAGGAGGGAGGTACCCACTGAAGGATGTCTGACCGTGGCTGGACCCATGCTCTGCAGGAGTAAGAGCTCCCGCTAAAACTAAACCGGCTGTTGAGACAAATGAGTAGAAATTATAATTCCACAAGTAACATTCCCGCTCTTGATGAGTTCATCAATCATGAATGAAATCACTTTTGACCGCAATGGACTCGTGTAAAACGTAGTATTGGTGCTGCGAACTCTTCAAAAAAGCCAATCAAAACCAGGGAAGTCCAAACCTTACCAGCAGAATCGGGAGGCACTGAAAATGTTCCTACAGTGTCGGGATCGTGAGCCACGAATGGTGAGCTGTGAACACTGGGGTGAGTCTCTTCTAGAATCTGTGCAGGTGATAGAAGAGAACAAGAGGTGATGAAGCACAACTGACAAGATGGTCGAGTCTCAAATATCTCAGCTGCGCATTGTGTTTTAAACTTAATAAACAAATCTCCCGACCGTTTATAAAATATAACTTAAAAGACAGAAAAGACAAAACACAATCAATGAAAGTAACAAATTGTGCCTGAAGTCGCTAACTGACCTCCTCATCATCATCGTCAGATTCAGCTGATAAATGATCCTGCCACGAAACAAAAGACAACATTAAAACAGCTCTCATAACAAAAAATTACTTTGAAGATCAAAGAAGACATTTAAAAACAAAGGAAATCCTTCGTTGAGAAGATGCAAAAGAGGTTTTGAGGTTAATGAAGCAAGTTTTTACGCCTTTGCTACCCTACGTTAATTACATGATTAAATATGATGAATCAAAAGTTTCTTTTCTTCTTTGTTAAGACATAGCAAAAGACTGACACCCGCTACACTGACGAGCAAAACGACGATGCCGCTTAATTTGAAAGCTAAATCACACGTCCAATGAACAAGGAAAGCCGGGTTTTCCTTGAATATGTCCGATCAGCAGAAGAACACATTTGCACGTGCAATCAATGAAGTTTTTAGTATAACTTTTTCAAAGCAAATCACATAGGTAAACTGAAATGGATTTTTTAAAAAACCACTGGCAAAACTATGGCTGTTTTGAGCTTGAGTCTACGACCCACCTGCTCCTGTTCGTCCTCTAATTCAGATGATGAATCAGGAAATAGTTCCGGGTACCGCTTTTTCCAATAGTCCTCGGATGGCCACTTATCTTCAGGGAGGGGTTCGCCATTTTCTGTCTGCAAAAATCAATTAATGTAAGATTTGACGTTGTACTTATGGTTTAATTTCATTGAAACGTGAACAAGGGAGGGAAACAAAAGAAACTTGATAATTTCACTTTCAGTAAGTTCAGACTGCGTGAGTGCAACGCATGTACGGCTACTACATTCAAATCTCTATCACGCAGCCCTTTGTTAAGCAGCCGCCCTCTCTAAAGCGGAAACTTATCAAATTGCCAGAATTTGCTTCCCATATTTACTGAAATCATGTGACCTCTACTGAGCTAGCCTGTGTACAGCCACCCCCTCACCCCAGAAAAAATCGGAGAAGGGGACGATTTTTGCTGAGGGGAGGGAGCAGCTATACACAGGCTATACTGAGCGGATACCTCTGTCAAGCACGCGCAGTAACCCTCCTAGAATTCCCAATTGGCTAAATTTGCTGTATTTCACCTCTATTAAACAGTAACGTAATTGGATAACATGCGATATTTAATATGGGGAACAAAATATGCCCTGGCTGCCTTTATATTCACTGTAAATTCTAAGTGTTTATTTTGGTCTTTTCTTTTCATATAAATTATCCGAAGAAAATACATCTGAAACAAATAATCAATGTAGACTCCCAAAATTTTAACAAGGGAACAGACAGCTAATCAATCGTTGACCTTCAATTTCCTCTACCAATCTAATATTTCTGATTTTTTT